ACCGGGCCAGTCCCAGCCGTGGGGCCCGGCAGCACTGCTGTGGCCGGAGGTCGGAAGTTGTGACCCTAGGCTGGGTGACCTCAGCTTTCTAGCCTCGCCATCCTGAAATCTGTGTTTTCAAACAAACGTTTTCAACCGCCATTCCCCAGAAATCCAAACAGAAAGGAAAATACCCAAGAATTTTTTTCCCCTGGAAAGCCACCGAGCAAATAAAGTCCCATTTGCTCCAGATGAGTTAATAATTACACAGGCTTTGCAAACACAGTTGATGATAGTCAAAGTTTTGCAGACTGCAACCTCTATGTGGACAAACGCCATTGCGGGTGGGTGAAATACGGGTGTGGGAGCGTGCTCCCCCTTGGTGTGCTGCTCACAGGTCAGCACAGCTCTGCAAAATCACCCCCTCTCACCTGGCTCTGAGCACACTGTGGCTTTTGCAAGTTGAGACCCATCACATGTTGAAACCAGACAGTTTCTATATGAAAAGAGAAGTCCTGGCTGAACTCTACATTTTTAATGTTTTGCATCATTCCACATTCGCATGTGTACAACATCTAAAGGCAAACGGAACTGAGCCACCACTATGGCTTTTCACACCGAATACACACTTCTAAATTGTGATCTCGGTAGCCTTCTTCCACACTCTCTTTAAGATGGGCACTTGCAATGAAATCAAGACTCATGTCATCTCTGCCTTTTGCACTGATGAGTGCTGCCAAACTGCTCCCTTGATGGTGACCAGCTGCTGTCTCATGGGTTATACTTAGACAAAACACTTTCTGAAGGACAACGGGCCTCTTACCCTATTTGTGTATGGTGATTAGCACAATGGGTATCCACGGCTAGGACCTGAGCTGATGTTATAATGTGTAATAATCCCACCAGTCCCATTTTCAAATCCTCAGTTATAAAACACCATGGACCATAGATGCAGTGACTTGTCTTGAATCCCAAGGATGTCTCTGGCAAAGCACAGAACTGTACTGTGGTCTCCCATCTCCTGCTGCAGTAAGCAAACCTCATTGGTTTCTAGTCAGAAAATAGAGGGTGTTCTCCAGAGGAAGGATCGGCAACATTAGAGACTGATGACGGGCATTTAAAACAAGGCTGTTCTTTAAAACGAAAGATTTAAGAAAGTATCTTCAGACCCAACCCACATCAGGATAATCAGACTGAAATCAGAGAAGGTTAGCTGGTGCCACAAACAAGCAAGTATCTGGACAGCCACAGTTATTTGGCCTACACTAGAAAAAATATTTACAAACTTTGGCAATAAAATCAAAGCTGACAATGGTCATCTGCTTCAGGGTCAAACCTTCCACTGGCTTTTGTGGCATTTTGTTCTATATCCAAATATAACCTACCATGGCCTCTAATGACTGGACTACTTGAGAGGTTTATGTAGAACCTAAGGGAATAAAAAAGCTAAAAATACCCTATCCTTCAGGAAATGGACTTTTTCTTCCTCTCTGTGTAGCCCATATTATACTGTCTAGGCTACATAAACTTCAAAATCTATATGAGAGATTATGTTCATAATGGAAGGATTTCTAAAGTGTATGTATTGGTTCTGCTCAACCTTTATCGGAAAGCCTCTTCTGTTACAGTTTTGGTTTTAGCCCCTTAGAATAGGTCACAAAGTCCTCGGTATAAATGATGCAAAATAATAAGCACTGAACCAATTTTGGCACCAATGGTAGTTGGTGGCATGAGTGAGCACTTGATTCGAGGCCCCATTAAGTGCTGACATGTTTACAAGCCACACTTTATTACCGAACATACCAGGAATTTGGCAGTAGGGAAGTCTGAATCTGTTCAAGACTAATAAGGCAAATATACCCCTTCTATCTTCATCTCCTTTAAGACTGTAACTGCCATAGTCTGGTTTTCTGAAATTGTACAAACTGGAATATAAACTCAAAGGAGAGGAGAACTCCTACCAGCAGCCTTGCACGACTCTGTGATACATCCCGGAGGGGTTTAATAGCCAGAAGCGCAGCTCTTCTCAGTTATCAGGAGCTGAGGGGATCCCAGAGCAACGGGGTTTCCAGCACTGAATGTCACCCCTTGGAGTCGGAAGGTGCAGGTGAGGTCACAGAAGGATGGTGGTGGCAGGAAGGGGGGGATGGGGTGTCCACAGACTCCGCAGGGCTTTCTTATGACACCTGGCCAGTCCCTATAAGTGGGAAATGGGATTCTCCTGTTCATAAGCAGTATAAATCAAGAGAACACAGATCTTACAAGTGGCACCATTCCTCCTGGAGATGTTTTAATTGTAGCCAAGCAGCTGCACTTTTTGTGTGTAGGTGCGAGGAACTTACAGGGTCTAGGAGGTGCCTGTGAACTCCTCACTTATGGAAGAGAAAAAGCAAATGAACCCACTGCTCACTGGTGGTGACATGGAGAACGAGTCTAAGAAGGACGCAGGTGGTGACACGGAGAACAAGTCTGAGGAGGATGCAGGTGCAGTGTTTAGTTACTAGCAAACTCACTTCAGAAATAGTCAGAAATGGCCAAAGGAAAATCGCCAGCACCCAAGAGGGACTGCTGCTGCAGCAGGCTGATCACCAGGTGGAAGGCTTCCCTTCCCCAGGCCAGGCAGCAATGACGAGAAAGGTGGTGATCCAGGGATCAAGCGTGCCGGTGCCCAGAGATGGGAGCTGCCATCCAGGAGCAGCTTGGAAAAAACAAAAGAAGGTTTGCCAGTACCAGCTTCCAGGCAACTCTGCCCAGCTGCCCCTAATGCCCACAGGAGATGTTGGAGCTCAGCACCTTGTGAGACCAGATCCTGTTTGAGCCGTCCATCGCCCAGAAGAACAGGCAGAACATGAGGGGCAGAAGAGTTTCCTGAACCTGCTCCTGTCAGGCTGTGCTTGTACACCACAGAGTCAGGCTCTGCGACTGCTCACAGCATTTTTGCCTGACTTCCCAGCTTAGCATTAATGGTTCCTCTCAAATTTCAAAGCCTCCTCTGGCCTGTCACTTAGTCATTACAAATTAAGTTCTTATTTTCTTTCATAATGCAATTACCATAAGGTAGTCAGACATGCTGAAGAAGGATAGATTTAGATTAGATATAAGGAAGAAATTCTTCACTGTGAGGGTGGTGAGGCGCTGGAACAGGTTGCCCAGAGAGGTTGTGGATGCCCCCTCCCTGGCAGTGTTCAAGGCCAGGTTGGATGGGGCTTTGGGCAACGTGGTCTAGTGAAGGGTGTCCCTGCCCATGGCAGGGGGGTTGGAACTAGAGATGATCTTTGAGGTCCCTTCCAACCCAAACCACTCTATGACTCTTTGGTTCTTGTTTTTCAGTATTTAAATTGAGTATAATGTAATTTATAAAGTGTTACATAATAATTTTCCCTAATGGTTGCTCTAATAGATGAGCTCCTTTATCAGATATTTTGCATTGTTTCAAAATGACATTTGTCTAAACATCCTTTCTTATTTTTCTGTAAAGGTAGCTCTGGGAGGTTTTTGGATCCAGCAATCACAATTTATTGCCTGTTTAGGATTAGTCCCTTTTAGATTGCTTTTCTGCAAACAAGGTTTCTGTTCTTGGCAATGAACTCTTGAAACTTTCACTCCTTAAGTGGGATCTGACAAAATTAATTACCTGCTATCAAGCCCAAACAATTATATTAAAATTAGTATTTCACATGGGTTTTTGACAGTATTGACTTAAAAAATATTATCACTAGAAAATACCTGGTCAGTTAATAGTTGGTTGCCATTTTCCCTTACATATTGGATTAAATAAGTGTGAGTAAAATGCTGGCTGAATTTGACTGACAGTAGCAGCAAGGAGAATGTTATAATTGTTAATCCTATCCTATTCCAGAGGCAAATTGTTGTCAAAATGTCTGATTGTTTTGCTTTTTTTCTTGGTCTAAATTATTTATATTAGAAGGGAGGAAAAAAAATCTGTTTTTATTTTTTTTTCCATAAATATGTAACATATTTGTTTATAATTTCTCTAAAAGTCTTTTGATATTCAGTGGCATGACTTAAAATAGGATATAAGGATTTGATACCCTTGACTAGATGACCAAGCTAAGGCACACACAATTTTTTCCAAACCACAATAAGCCTAATTTCTCAATTTTTCAATAAACAACAGCATTTAGAATATTAATTCTTAAATACTTTGCTTAGATACAAAATCACGTGTCTCGTAGCTGTTTCCTCATTGATTCCTTCAACACTTAATACTCCCAAGTTAATACAATTATATAGTTTGACATATCACTGAATTAACTGATAGAATGTAAAAAAATGCTTATATTTGAGCATTTACGTTAGTATAATTTTGTCTGCTTACTGCGAAATGCTGTGTTCCATTTTATGAGTTGCCCCAGTTGGGCTGTTACTCTGATGTATTTCTCATGCCAGACGTTCAGAATGAAAGAAGTGAGGACAACCTTGGTAGCTTCTTTCACAGCTGAAATACCTTAGTATGTATCAATTAGATTTTATCCTGGCAGAGGAGAACAATTTATTAAAATCTTCATCTAACCTTTATGTCCATCACTAGTGATTCTAAGGGAGACTACTTCATTAGTTTAGCGGCACAAACTAGGACCTTGTTGCAATGCTAGGCAAAAGGTAAGAAACATTTTCTTTACTCCACAAAACTATTGATGTAAAAATAGCTAGCGTGATTTATTGAATATTTGTACAACACAAATGAGGGGACAACATAAAGCAAGGTACCCAGAGAACAGGCATTGTTAACCTAGCACGAGAGAAGGGATTTCCAGTTATCTGGATGCATCCCTCACAAGTGACACATCAAACCATGGAGCGAACTCCCCTCTTAGCTCCTGGTTCGTGACTGGTACAAGCCATGTATGAGGCAGGCTGACCAGAAAGCTGTGTCTGCAGCCCCAGCACCTGGGGAAAGGTGAGGGTGACAAAAGAGTCTCCAGACTCATCGCTTTCTATTGTATTTGTTTTAACACCAACAATCATGATGCAACACTTTTCAAATTTCTGCTTGAATTATTATCATCTATATCAGTGCCAACTTCTACAGCTCCACAGGGGTGCAGGAACCATTTCTGAATCTACCTCAGAAGGCTGAGTCCACACACTGCGGGACTGGCTGATGCACTGGGCACATGACAGCCATCGTACTGGGGGATGAACAGTCTGTGTGGGTTTTGTATTTTATATTCCCAGAGTGGGAAGTTTATTTTTATCAGGATGTCCAGCATTGTAGGGCTATTAAGCAAAGAGGATCAGTGGTTACTGTCATAATGTCCCAAATCTTTGGTTCTGCTTGTCTCATGAGTGTTATACATGAGATTTAGACCTATTTTTACCCTTTCTTTTGTCTTTCTCGCACTAAAGTAATGCAAGAAACCCCATCATTTGAACAAATAAAGTCTGGCAGAAGGAAAAGGTCTTAATGAAGGAGCTGCAGCTGCAGGGCTGGTTGAAATGCAGTGATGTGGGTGCCAGCTGGCCAGTCTTTCCCTCACATAGGTCTGAATGAACAGCTGACCTGCAAGCTCCACGTCACACATCAATGCTAAGTGACACCCAAGAAGGGTACAAAATTACAGGTTAATAACCTGGAGCTCTAAAGGAAAATAAGGAGTAAGGGAAGAAGGTAGCAAAAGCAGAGACAAGGAATGAAAAGGAAGATTCAGAGTAGGAAAATAATATGCATCGTGCTATTAGCCAGGAATTCTTTTGGCAAAATTACTCTTCATTATTTTTGTATGCATTTATTTCTCTTAAAAAGGAATTTTTCAAATTCTCCTTCTCTCTAACTATAAAATAAATTATGAATTGTAGGCTAGACAAGCTGTATCACTTCCAGTGGGTCTAGTTACACTCAATCCCAAGACACAATAGCATTCAAACATTTTCTCTTCTGCCATGCTTGAAGAGTACTACAAAGCATTCCCAGTCTGATCGCAAAAAGTCAGCCACCAGTGTCCTGCCAGGGCCTGGGGAAGTGTGAGTCAGTTCAGGAGAGCTAGAAATGGCATGGGTTTGGCCTGTGGATTTCTGGGGAAATGGGATGAAGAGGGGAAATATGCCTTTCCTGATGGGCTCAGAAATTGAGAAAGGGGAGAAAGGCAGCTCTTAAGGGAATGAAGACCTAATGCGGGAGAACTGTGAGTCCCTCGCACACGGGCTACAGAATTTGGGGAGGGCTTTTTCCAAAAGCTGCCAAGCCATGGCCAGTCTGCAGATCTGTAACCCCATGGTGAGCCTGTCCCCACACCAGGGCCAGCACCGCATGCGTACAATGCACAGGGAGCGGTGGACACAAAGCGAAGCTGAGGAAGGAGTGCATCAGCAGCATGTTGAAGAGAGGCACAGGCTTCAGTGAGAGCAGTGGGAGGTCTATCACATCCGGGGAGTCACATTTATGCTGGGCTTGCATTGACAAAATGAATCTGTTTGGTTTCATGGTAGGCCAGAATGAAGAGACGTCCGAAATCAGTGACGCTCCGGAGTCTGTGTCACTGGCTGATGCCTCAGCAGAGAAGGCCACGCAAGGTTCTGACACTGACCTCAAGGTGGAAGGTGAATGTTTGCTGACCATCTGCCCTCACTAGCCTTTCCCTTACAGTCAGAGCTGTGCCTACCAAGTGGTATGTATCCGAAATGGAGACCGAGGACACAACCCTGCCAGTGTCCTGACAACCACATGTCATCTGGCAATTGATAAAGGCAAGGAGGGATGAATTTCCCTCTAAGAGCTCTCCCTTTAATGTCAAGCATCTTCCTTCAACTGCTTTCTACACACCATGGTTATTCCTTTGTTCCTTCTTCTCTCCTCCAGTCCTTAATAACCAACACTACCAGACCAGCCTGCTGCCTGGGCAGCAGGAGCAGCTAGCTGAAACGAGGGATGGGACTGAGGCTCTGTTTGTGCACTCCTGATGAAACACTGCATAGCAATTGCGGTCTGCATACCATAGGTTTGCCGCAACTGTCCTAGACTTTTCTGGTGGCTCTCCCCTTTATCTTCTGCTTAGTGAAGTCAGTCCTCTGGCTAAACAAGTCTTGCACTCATTTTTGTAACAGTAGGATTTGTCCATAATTTAAGATGAGAACTTTTAAACTTGTTATAAATGGAAGGAAAATCAAAAACCATAAGAATGCAAGAACAAAAGACTGTTTTGTTAGAGGCCTCAGATTGAACTGGAAAATGGCTTTGATGAGAGGGGAATTTGTCTTGAGGTCAGACCACTGAATGCATATAACAACATGGAGAAATATGAGCTCTAAGTATGGGGTTTGATGAAGGAATTCCAAATGACAGGTTTTTGTGGAAATGCAGCCGCCAGCTGCACTGATATGTCTCATTGCAGCTGTGTCAACAACATCCAATGGCCAAGATAAGAATGCTGGGATTCTTTCTGCTGGTTGTAAGCCAAAATGTTCTGAGCTGCTCTAGCTCTGCTGGCAATATCAGCTGTATGCTTCAATTAAGATTTAAAAAAAAAAAAGATGAAAATGTTTTCGCCTGATGTCAAGAATTCTCAGTTACACCCAGAAAGCTTTAGTCACACTGCAGACTGGTGAGAAGCTGCAGCAAGTCACTGAATGCCAAATGGAGAAGCAAGGAGGATACATTAACTCTTCGAGGTCTGGGATAAAGGGATGGGGAGAACCAGGGGATGATAACCCTTTAAGAGTAAAACCCTACTGTTGTTGCATAGTGTTTATTAAGTTACTTCATTTATTTAAAAGAGGAAGGAGAACACTGAACGCACCATTCATCAATATACTTTTTCTCTGTAGATCCTGAGAAGGCCTTTGCACGCATTATGGGCACAGACCTGTACTTGGAAGCATGCAGGCTGATGGAGGTGGTGCCTGTCTCACACTTTATTCAGAACTTGGCCAAGCCTTACATAAACCTGAACCATCATGGTCTAGGACCCAAAGGTGTCAAAGCCATTGCTATTGCTCTGGTGGTGAGTAGCCAGGAAGAATGGGGCCTCTGTTCTCAAGAACAATAGGCATTTTAGGCCTCTCTCTGGCCAGGAAGCCATCCCTGAGTACACAGCGTGGGAGAAAAAGTAATGTATATAGGATCTCTGAGCATTCCTAATGCTTCTAATCCACTGCACAGGGAAGTCTTGTGTGGCAACTGCTGGTCTTTGCTGGAGTTACCCCCAAGAGCAAACTGATGCTTTTCAATGGGACACAAGTGCCCAGTGTTCCTAACCCCTACTGGGCCAGAGGTAGGGCTGGAGGGATTTATATCCCCCACTCTGCGTTCTGCAGAGGGATGTGCTACACCCACCAACAGACAGGCCCAAAATGCCTAAACTGGAGCTTGGATCTGAACCTGGGTCTCCAGGCTGGCAGAAAGCAACGGGAAGTCCTACCCACTCAAAACCTCTCCAAAAAAGTATCTCTTCTATGCCAATTCACACTGCCATGGCTCTGTCATGTCCTCTGATCGCTGCTCTGCTCAGAACCTGCAATGCTTTCTGAGATTTGGAGGAAATGTTGAGCTGAGGAAACTATTCCCTTCATTAACTTTTCAGCAGTTTTCTCTGTGTCTCTGTTCACCTTTGTGTCTTCCCAGTCCAACGCAACCGTCACCCATCTAGAGTTGGAAGACAACTACATTCTGGCAGAAGGAGCCATATGCATAGCAGAGATGCTACGAGAGAATTCCTCCCTTCAAAAACTGGTACCCAATCTGATGTAGTTTGTAGCCAAAACTATTGCTCATCAAGTTCAATCATCTGAAAGAAAATTAATTCATTCCATTACAATTTTAACCAAATAACCATTGTTCTCATGCAAAAACATTCACATTCTGAAAGTCATGATATTTTATGCTGCTCTATTTTTAAATAGAGAAGCTTCTGAAAAGCAGAAGTGTGCAGGTGATGGCAGTCTGGTGAGTCTGGAACTGTTCTCTTCATTAGCAGATGTGACAATAATTACCATAACTAAGTCTTTTTAGTTCGTGCTTAGCCAACAGAAAAAGCATTTTGGTCAGGAACTTTAATTCTCCATTATGACGTGGGGAAACTTTTCTAAATAGATTAAGGAAATAATGCAAAACTTTCACATGTAAACTGGTAGAAATGTTCCTTCGATCTGAAACTGGGGTATACAAAATGCATTTTGATGGGTGATGGGATCTATGTTACACTGGAAGAAAATATTCTTGGCCAAATGACTCTTGGTTCACTGAAGACAAAGACCCATGTGAAACTCATGGCTCTAGGGCTTTATACCTGCTAGGTAGGATACAGGGTTAAACACATCTATAACTCACATGTTAATTACTGTCTGGCTAACATTTCTCATATTGCTCATCTTGCATTATTCCCTTGATATCTTGGGCATTAAGAAGACAATAAAGCTGATTTATTCTTTGGACCCATCCTTCTTATCCTCCCTTCTTTCCTTCCAGAACATCTCCAATAACCACCTAGACACAGCAGGAGCTGCAGCCATTGCCGGTTTGCTTTTGGATAACATGTCCTACCTCCATGCTCTTCAGCTTTCAGGTGGGCTGTATGCACCCAAACAGTGACGGCAGTGGAAGTGAAATAACGTGTTTCATTGCAGTCTCTCATCCTGAGAGTATTAGTCAGACTATGGGCAAAATCAGTCTCTCAGCTATGTCTCTGACGGGAACCCACAGTAACAGTGGAAATCTAGATTTATAGTGATGTGATTAAATATTTGGCCTGCTCAACCTCCAGCACCTCTGAAAAACAGTCCTTTACGAGAAACTTAGATAATTGCTGGAGCGTCTCCCAAATCTTGGGGTAATTCTGCTCTATGGAGTGAAGTGGAATAATGACTAACTGCTTACAGCCAAACACGGGCCACGATTAACTGGAGGTTCCACCTAACAGCACAGCTTCCTCCAGACCCCAGCACAGCACTAAGGGAGAGATCAGCACACTGTTAACATACTTTTCTTCCCCAGGAAACAACTTTGGAGAGGAGACTGCACCATTCTTTGCTGAGGCATTAATGGTGAGTTACCTGAAATCCAAGGTCATTTGCAGCCCTGGCTGTGTAGCAGACTCTCCTCATCTTGAAACTGCTACTCACTTGGCATGATTCCACTTGGCAACGCCCATATGATTTCCTGGCATAATTTTGCTAAGTGCCTCTTGCTTACTTCAGAAATGAGAGAGGCTGGGAGGACACAAAGCAGGATGAACTGCATTAACATTTTCTCAGGACAGCTGCATGAGTCTGGCTGAGAAACAAACCTTCAGGACTGTGTAGCAGGACAACAGAATGACATCTGGGTGACAAAAAAATTTCAAGAAGCATAAGTAGCCCAACTTCGTAACATTTTGGAATTCTCCAGAAAAAATAAGATGCTTGACTTCTCTGGTTAGTTCCTGTCTCAAAGCCTCTGCATCATTTGGCACCACCATTGACCTGCCCTGAAGCAAGGTCTTGACCTGGTATCAGAAAGTGCTTTTGGTCAGGGTACAACAGTGGGAGTGAAACAGGGGCAGGAACAGAACTGCAGGATGTGTTGCAGGCCAGACATGAGCTGTGCGAGAGAAGTTTGCACAACACAAAGTCCCATGGCTTTTGATGTTTTGGGAAGATAATCACTGTGATGTTACATGCCTGATAAAGTTTTGGTTTGGGACATGCAGTGCTACAGTCTCTGTGCTGATGATCTCCCATGCACTGAAGATTTCAGTGTGTCTGATATCCTTCTGTTTCATCCTCATGTGGGGGCCTTGGCATGGCATCTGGTTGCAGCTGGCTGGAAGATCTCATTGTCTCTGCACATTTGTCTCTCTGCAGGGCAATTACCAAGTGAAGGAGCTGGACCTCAGCCACAATGAGTTCTCTGAGAACGGAGGACAGCTCCTGGGACAGATGCTCGGTAACTTAATTCATTACTCCTGCACAGCTAGGAGTACAGGCACTGGGGGACTTGATGGCGTCAGCACAGTGAACATGTGTTTCCTTCCCCAGAAAAATGCCCCATGACCTGGTGGGTAGTATAAAAGTCAGGGCACCCAGATTTAGAGCTTCCTGCCTGGTCCACAGGCTCACACTCATCACCACAGGTGAATCTAGCAACTATGACTAATGTATCGGAACACAAATGCAGGACAAGAAACCACAGTAACAGAGCAGCCTGTGCCAGAGAGAAGAGAGCTGAAAGAGAAGTCCCTCAGGAAGTATAAAGCAGAAAATTGCATTTTACTAAAACCTAATAGGATCAGAACTGTTGCGGGTTTTTTAAGCTTTTGATTACAAAGTTCAGGAGTGATTTCAATTTTTCTTAAGTAGCCCAAACCCTAATGGTTTGAGCCATTGCACAGCAAGCAGCAAGGGAAACAGATTAAGAAGAAATAAAATTAAGCTGCCTAATTTATCTGTTCAGAAAAAGTGAGATCCAGAGTGTGCTAGCAGCCCTGGAGAGAGAACACAAACAAAACAATTACAGTCTTTCAGTAATCTCAGGTGCTATTAGTGCACTGGGACAGACTTGCATGAATATTTGACAGCTCTTCTTCTGTATGTGTATGTGTATGTGTATGTGTACGTGTATGTGCAACACGCCTGCTACCATAATGGCCACAAAGCATGTGCTATGAGCATCCAGTGTTCCTCGAGCATTTCAGTAACACAATGCCTTCAGTTTAATTAATGCTTTTCTTCTTCTGGTTCAGTATTTCCACTGATACGTATCTCTTTCTAATTATAGTCCATGTCTTTAAAAGATGGATCAATTAAAACTGCAGTGAGGCCAAGGCACTGTAACCCTGCCTTGGACAAGCCTGCAGGCAACACAGAGATCAGTACTAAAACTTGTGACCTTCCTAGCCCAGAAAAATGCCTCCCCAAAATCAAAGGTCTTACAGCTCTTCTCTCCTTCCGCCTCACTTGAGGCAGGAGCAGCAGAGATTACTGCAGAATCTGTTACTTTTCTGTTTTGTTTCTTAAAGGAATATTTTAAGTCAGCTAAACTCACCATCTGCCTCCATCCAACCTCCCATCCATGGAAAATCTGGATGAGAAATTCCCTCTGAGAATGGGAAGGAAGTGTTGGCAGCAAGTCCTACCCCTCCCAGTGTCACAGTAGACACAAATGAATTCACACATACCCTGCTCTAAGTAGAAGTTTCACCATGAGGTGTGCTATGCATGTGAATTGCCACTGGCACATATACAGCTGGGCACAGCTACCATATGAAGCTGAATTCCTCTCTTCTGCTAATCAAATGTACGCAGAGTGAGTCTTGATATTTTAGATGTGGCAAGGAGAATCCAGCCATTTTTCACAGTGAGAAAAACAGACAGTGTCTATTAATATAGAAAACCCTCCCTCTTTCTACCTTACTCCTTCACAACTTATTTTTTTATTAAGTCAGAAAAAAACCTGTGTTCCCTTTCTGCTTGTGATCAACAGCCCATTCCCTGTTCTTTGGGTACTTTGGACAGCAAAGACTCTAGGTACAGGTTCCTCCCACTGCAATCCATGAAGGCTGTTGCTGAACCCACAGCAAACTTTCTCTTAGTCCCTAAGTGGGTCAGCAGCTGTGTCCAGACCACTCTTCATGAGCTAACATCTCAGTTTCTCTCCTAGCCAGCAACGCAACACTGGAGATTCTGGACCTGAGTTGGAACCACTTGAGGAGGAAGGGAACAGTAGGACTGGGCACAGGTCTCAGGGTAGGAACACCCCTGTTTTGTGATACCCTTCATACCCAGGAGCTGGTTGAAACACTTACTGGAAACTCAAATCCCCTGTGGTCTGAGCAGGATTCAGTAGCTCCAGCAAGGCTCATCCTACTGACAGTGGCAGTCAGCACCAGGAGAAAGACTAAAGCAGTGAGTAGGTCTGGTGACTAACGTGGATGGAGACACCCTAGTGACATTGCAGAGATGTTGGATTCATTAAGGCTGCCTGGGTGTGACTTGAGGGATGCTCCTGTCTCAGCCAGTCAAGAAAGGGTAGAGTGGTACAGAAGACAGGCATGCAGTAGCTAACATCTCTTTTCTCTCCCTGGAGGGCAATGTTGCACTGAAAATACTCAACCTTTCTTGGAATGGCATTGGCAATGAGGGAGCACTGGCCCTAGGAGAAGCTCTCAAAGTCAATAATGTGCTGGTTCACCTGGACATCAGCAACAACCAGATCAACAACGAGGGAGCCAAGAAGCTCTGCAGAGGCCTTGAAGTCAATGGAAAACTCAAAATCCTGAAGGTAAAATAAAGCCCAGGGCTGGAGGAATAAACAGAGGGAACAGAAAGATCTTGAGTCAGGGGGACAGAAGACAAAGGTGAGCTGTCTGAGCTAGAACTGGAGGAAATGAGTATTGCTCTGGGTTGAAGGTGAGCAGAGTGGAAGGAAATTCTATCCTATGAATTTCTTCCAGGGCAACTAAATTGCACTGTTCCCTCAAAAAATCCCCCAGGGACTGGCTTGGCATAACCCCACGCTCATTATCACTCCAAAATGGCTGATTCCTGTCATGTCTAGTCTCAGTCGAGTGAGAACCTAGGTATTCAACGTGTCTAGCAGGCAGCCTAGGCATTCAATGGCTCTGCATACATACATAAAATGTAGTTGTGAAGGTACATATGTACACGTACTATGCATTTCAACCGAAGGCAAAGGTGCACACTGAAGTTTGCAGGTGGGCAAGAGTGCACCTTTCTGTTAATGATTTGCTAAAAATTTATTCAAACACAGGATAAACTGTCCTTGCCTCATCAGGGCAATGCCACAGCACTACCTAAAGGAGAGGAGTATTATGAAGTCCTGGAAAACCAAAGCCAAAACTGCCTTCTAGTAAACCAGGGATCAATAATCCTGGAAAGGGCAAAACCGAATGACCAGCCAAGCTGGCTTCAGAGGTTAGGGTTGAGAGCTAACATGTCTTCTCAAACCAAGATCATTGTCTAGGAATTCAGCTCAAAAAAGTCAGCTTGCTTATGAGCTGCATTCTCAGCTAGATCTAACGTCACCATACTGAGAGCCTGCAAATGGCAGTATGGTGGTTGAGGGACATCTTTAAAGCTGTTCACGTAGGCCTGTCTGTGGACACCGCTGTCCTTGTAAATCACTGCAGCCACACCCATCTTTGGGACTGCTGTTTTAGATTATATAAATAAATGTGTCTGTTTGCTTTGCTCTTAACCTGGCTTGAGGTAAGGTCACTAGCTCACACCAAGGCATTCCTCTCTCTGTGTAGCGGCACAGATTGTCTTAGGAGCTGGTAACACACAGGACTTAAAGAAGGACATGTCTTCTGCTGGCCAATGTTAACCAAATGTTAACCAAGGAAGTTTTCTTTCAAATAGTGGGAGTGGAGACTGTACATGAAGTCCAAGGTGGGCAAGAGGTGATGCTCACACACTAAGAGATGTACAGGGCAGTGCTGACCCCATAACACCAGATAGCTAGACCATGTAAGCCAGAGGAAGCCAATCAGCCTGAGCTCTGACCTGCTGTGCTGCCAAGAAGAGCCAAAGGTATGGAAAATGTCCCGAGGGGCAGACCCTCATCCAGAGGGACCCTACCAGCAAGCACACACTCAAATGCAGCCCATCGCCTCAGCCTCTCCCTATCACATGGCTGAACATGATCCACATCACATACCCTGCATGGCAGATGTAAGGGACCTGGTATGTGGAATTTCACACAAGGAGACAGAGAGAAGCTGAGAAGGCAACTCCACTGGGAAGCTATATTGCAGAATTTTGTGGGACAGAGACAAGAGATGGTGAGATAACAGACAAACCCATCAAAAGGGACCACAGTTATTCCACAGCCCTGCTGAAGAATGAGAAGAAAGGGTCATCCTTGAGGTTACAGCATGCCTTCTGCCAGGCATGAAATCCTCATTCTCACCATGTCTGGACCTATGTCTCTTCTTCCACAGATGGCCAGTAATCCCCTGACCTTGGAAGGTGCCACTGCGCTAGTCACATCTGTCAGAAAGAACCCCAAATCCATGATGGAGGAGATCAACATCCCAGTAAGAGCTTATGTGCTGGAAAGCCTCCAGGACCATACACTATACATTTTTAGGAACTGGGTGGATCACAGAGCTGTCCCCTTCCAAAACTGTTTTGAGACTTGCTGTTTGTTTAATTTATGCACACCCATTAATAAAAAGAGGCTACTGTTTGACAGCCCTTCGAGAAGCCATGTGGAAATTACAGGGCTTTGGTCTAGCTCTGGAGAGAGGTGCTTGTATCATCACATTTCACTCCTTTCCATTTTGCAATAGCAGAACAAGAACAAGGAGTGAATTCCCACTGGAGGATGAATTCTCTTCATCCCCTGAGCTGTCTACCTCCAGGCTAGCCTAAGATGCTAGATACTGTGAAGTGCTTTGATACCCTGTCAGTTTGTATGAGAAGATGGATGCTTCAAGGCATTGAAAGCAAAGCAATTTTATTAAAAAACAAAAACCAAAACAAAACAAAATATTAAAAGGCTGGTGTGGAAGAGGAAAAAAATCAGAGGCCAAATCTTAGTATGCTACTGTGTAGCAAGCTGGGAGCACAACACTTATTGTTGTAACCTCATGTGCTGCTTCTAAAATGGGAGACCCAGAAACGCTTCTGAGCTCCTGAGTGATGGTAGGGGTTGCACTGCCGACCAACACTGGGGAGAGACCTGGGCACACATCAGTCCACTCCTGGCCCTCCCATCCATGAATTGGTGCTTCATGGGAGCAGTTACAGAATGTGCCAGGGGCCTCAGGGCCCTCCATCCACCTTTAGGAGCACTGCAATTAAAGGAAAGAGCATTTTCACAAAGATTAAGTTTGGGACATGGAACATAAATAAGAAGTTCCCACTTGAAACAAGCTTAAAAAAAATTAATGGGCAGTTTTGGAGACTCACGTAATGGGTTGTATCTAAGTTACATCTGCTTGTGTTTCTTTGTCCTGTGGTTACTAAACCAAAGCAGAATAAATAATATTAACCTATGGTCTTCCCTGATTATAGAGAGCTTTCAACAGAGATCATCTGAAAAACAGGCGTTCCTCTAGGGCAGACAATTTTTCCTGCATAATTAAGATCAAAGAGAATTATTTGCCAAGTCTGCAAGGAGTCAGGCCTCATTCTGCAAAGGAAAACTAAAATGGGCTGTGTGGGGGTAAAGGACTTCATTACAGTATATGTGGTTCTGCTAGTTTTATTACTAATAAATTAAACAGTTCATAAACCCGGAAAGAGTAATGTATTTTAGCTAAATTCTGAGAAATTAAAGAAATTATTGAAATGCATTTATTTAAAAAGAGGCACTCAAGAAATTTTTAAGCAAGGCGTTAATTAACATTAAGAATCTTAAATCCCACCTAAATCTCACTATGAATTTCTGCTTTTTAGGGTTAACAGATGCTCTCTTCACCTCACCCTTCAAAAAGTCTAAATCACCTGGCATTTCACAAGATAAATTGTCAATGGCATAAATTTATAATGACATTTCAGTATCCCAATCAAATGTTTGTAGGCAAACATCTAATCTATCTGACAGACTTCATTCCACCTTTGATGTAGGGGTCTTGCATTTCAGTTCAGAGTATTTGTAATAATACAGCTCCAAAGATCTTAAGCTGTCTTAAACCTTTAAGAAACTAGTAAAGGTTTTAATCTTTTATAAGAAACTTAAGGGAAGACATAAACAAAAGCCTCTTCTGCCCCTTTTCCCAGTGATAAATGCTTATCTTGACTTTTAAAGAATTAATAATTAGTGTCTCTGTAAGAGGAATCTCGAATAAGGATCACATCTAGAAACCTTCACATGGGTTTAACAGCACTAGCAAAGGCAAAGCAATAGAAAGGCACTTTTTTAGGAACAGCTTGTTGCTTCTGACAGCATTTCTAAGCATGACTGTTCCCCACATCTTTAATAGGGTTTCACCTTGCAGATACTGACTATCAAACATTTTGTATAAGTCATGAATCAAAATAACCAGCACATGCCCTCTTCACCATCACAGTACAAAAGAAAATACAGTTGCTTTTCAGCTGTCCATGTGTTGTTTTTCTGAACTATGGACTGACTGTGTCAAACACGCTAGGACACTCTGCTTGCATGCGTAGTGCCAGAGTGAATGGCTTCTTTGGAGAGTCACTCTCTGTCCATAAAAGCCAGCCAGACTCAGACTCATTCAAGACTGTCTTCGGGTAGTAACAGTCAAGACCTCACTGCACAGTAGATCATAAGCTTCTAGATGGA